CGGGAGCAGCATGCACTGTGGGGCTAGCGTCAGCGCACCATAATATTTTTTCAATATTTGATAAAAACAGCCAGCAAAATCTTTGAGGAAAGCCGTTCTACGTATCGCAAGCATTGCTTCGCAAGAGTCATTAGTAACAAACTCATTCACGATGGCTGGCGAGTTCAAGATATCTTGCGGTACTAATTGAACCAATTTGGCGAATCTACCAACTTCCAACCCATGCATATCGTTCATGTAAATAACTCTCAAAACTCAAAGTGAGCTTAAACCGGAAGTAATGAAGAGAGTTTTACATAATATTGACAAGAGAATTTATGCTTCCGCCACCACGCCGCAAAGATTGACCACCAAGCGCTGTAGGTGCATACTGCTGACTCAACTGTCAAGCTACATCGTGACAAGCTTAAACTTACCACCCAACAAAAGCACATTGCCTCTCTATTTACACCTGTCGCAACTGGGCTCTACCCTAGAGACCACAACACAAAATTGACACTAACCGTCATACCAGAAGTGTACTCGGGGAGGGGACAGCTTTCAACTACGATTATCCTTCTCTTCTGAGTGCCAATTTAAGGGTAGGGTTGAGTCACTTCGGCTTTCTAAGCATTCAGCTTTAACCGTCCCAAAAGCGCTTCATACTTTAGCATAGGCGAGTTTTCGATAAACCAAAGATCCAATTCAATGGCTGTGTGCGACACCCAGTGTAATTGATCTTCAGGTAGTCCATGGCCACAGAGTTCTAGGCTTGTCACACCAAACATGAGAGTGGATAGAAAAAGTTAGGACCAGGACCAAAAAGCGTTTAATAGAATTTTCACACTATAAGTGAAGCGTAAAAGGCTAAAACGGTATTTCAAAACTTCAGCTGAAATCCGGGTCGCTAGACGCACGAATTTTGTATCCGCAAGTGGCATCTACAATGCTGCAGCGTATTGTCAGCCTTTCTAGACAGTCGATTTGTTAGCACTGCTTTTTTTATATTATTTCGCTCCCTTAGGACTAAACCCATTGACATCGATTAAATGATGTGCAATAAGACTCAGATATTTCAAATTGACCTCTTGCGGCAATTGAATGAAAATAATTTCTACTATGGGTATCGGCTGACAGGGTATGAGCTTTATTTATTCCCTAGACCGGGCTGGCAAGAATTGTTTTTGTGAATAATTAATACCATATTCGTCTTTCGGAAATAAGCCTGTCACTATAATAGCTATTAGATTGCTTAATTCGCGAACACCGCCTGCTGATTTTCGTCTCCCATAATTTTGACGGGTGGACATGAATCTTGATTGCTTACCGTGCGCCTGGCTTAGCGATGCGAGCACTCGTGTAGTCGACCGTTTAAAAGCGTCCAATGTTATGAATGTCTAGTCTACAGTGTCACCACGAGAAGTGCACATTCCAGCGCGCGGTCTCCTATTAGAGGCCGCTAGCATGATGTGCTGAAGTTTTGTCTGAAGCACGGCCAAATTTACGGCCATGCCAACATCCCTTACCCAAAGATAAATTTTCCTGTTCTAACCCCGTGGGCCTGAAAAAAAAGTTTAATTGACCTGATTGTCGATGCTACTTGTGCTTCCACAGACGCCTGGATGAGGCGTTTGTCAAAGCTTACCATAGCATTTGCATAGTAGCTAAACGCTACCAGGCGCTTGATAACTGCTCTAGCTCTTCTAACGCCTATTGCGCTATCCCAAAGGAGCCATCCAAGACAGAAATTTGTTAAGCGTGTCTTGTTGTCATGTGGATAGAAATGTAAAAATATCATCTTTAATCTTCACAGAAAACCAAGTCTTATTGTGACTCGATTGTCGTATCGCCGACGAGTGCACTGTGTACCACAGATAAGGCTTAGAATGAAGTAAGTTTCTCGTTAGCAAACACACAGGGATAATCTTGTAAGTATAACGTTCTTGAGAAGACTAACGCGTCTAAAGTAACCATAGACAATGATTACCATATACAATATAAGTAGTGCCGAGTACTGGATAGATCAGCTTAAATATCCTTATCAGTCATAATGCATCGCGTGAGGCTTGTAGCTCACGTGTCCTACGAATGTCTGTTCCATGAAGCTCATCGCTTTGATCATTACCAAGTTTTTATCGAGATACGTTATCTTAGTACCTTTAAGCTTCGGTTTAAACGCCGAATAAATATACACGCTGTTACAGAAGTCCACTCAACGGGGATGTGATACGATTTTAAGAGGTCAGTCTTGATGGGGGACGTTATGACGATGTAATTAATTGTCCTCTGGTATAATAACGAATATGAAAGGTACACCACGTTTAGTATCGTTTTATAGGGCAGTGATCTAGTAGATGCGATACCAGATTGATGACACACGCAAATTGCAGCGGGGCTGCCGTTGCTCTTTGCTTAAAGGAAGCTAAGTTAAGGTCACCGACCTTACGTTGTATACAAGAGCCACCACAAGTGTAGCGGATCACAATCCGCTACCTTCAACAGTGCTTAAAACCTTAACCGAGGTGAAGACGCTCTTCCGCTCAAAGTTAAAACAGTATTTAACTGTTAAATTTGCGGCAGAGTCGCCTTTATCTAAAATCATAGGTTTTTCTGAATAAATAGTAAAACCTAATTTATATGCATTTTTACTGGCAGTCCCGCCACGTAGTGGCTTCTTGATACGGTGTAGCCACACAATTGTGTGATTACACGAACTTGTGTAATCCACACCTTTGTACGGTAGCATCTTGTATGACCCGCCCTTTCATACAAGGGTACGTGTGACCCCGTTACACAAATGGAGACACACAGACTCTTAGCCCACAATGTCGGGACGTTAGCATTATATGTATGTTGATCATTCCAACGATATGTTAATAAATATATTGATTTTCTATTGCGCTTACAAATGTTACTTTACAAATGAGCGTGTTAGAATATTGGTACTTTGTGTCATTTTGGTTTAACGTTGTAGGAGGCGGCGTCTGAATCTCTCTGTAAAATGCTTTCTCTAGGTGACGGGGATACTTACTCCGATGCAAGCAGAGTTCTCTACTAGTCGCTGTATCTATTTAACAGTCTCACAAGCCAGCTTCCAGGAAAGCGAACGTCTAGCCAGAGCATTAAAAGATGCTTGATGTTGCGAAATACAAAGCTGAATTTTGCCAATCAAGTCTAAAATTAAGACAAGGCCAAGCGTTACTCGTTAATGGGAATCGTGCCGCACCGGGCAACTCTGCCTCTTCTACAAAAGAGATTAGTACTGAGTGTGCGCCAGTCATGAGAGGCAACAGCGCCAGACCAACTTTGCCATAGTGACACGTACAATCTCTTAAGTTTTGAAAGTGAGGGTAATCCTTTCATTTAACCAGATACTGACACCGTCATGGGTGCCACTACTTAGAGGTGGTTCGCCCCTGGCCATCGAGTAGCACCAGCAGAGGACGTCTCTCTCACGAATGGACCTCGTAGACTCTCAAAAGTAAGTTTATTTTTTTGATGCGCTCTTTCGGATAATTTCTCGCGACTTAAGACATTTCAGCATATCATCTGTAACTCAACACGGAGAGTGATTAAAGCAAATGTCTACCGTTCTCGGTAGTTGAGCTACCCTGTCGCTTACATATCTTACTGCCTCGAAAAAGCGCGATTGGGATTAGGCTTCAGCAAGCCCACTTTGAACACAATGTGTGACAAATTCTCTTAAGACGCTCATAGTGTGACTTAGACTCGTTTTCTCTATGATCGTGACCGCAAGTTAGCCATGAGTACCGCAGACACTGCACAGGTAGTTTGGCTTACGGCGTATAACACATTCCCTACATTTTTCATCTGTGTTTCACTTGTCTCGGGTATTGGACTCCTACTCCTAAATATCCTAGTCACCAGCCAAAGAGTCACATACTCGGTGCATGACCCTCAATCTCAGTTAGACAAATGCCTGATTAATCTAAGAAGTGTAGCCGGACTGATGTTAGCAATTGAATTGTATAACTATTCCCCACCTCACTAATTCCGGTGCCAAATTGTGGCGGTATCAAAATAGCAAAGGGTTAGCCAAACCATTCATCGAATTGGAGTAACGCACGTAGACGCGTGTACTGCGTGATTTGATGCGCGCACACCAAGTGGGACCAAATTGCTTCAGCTTTGCAGCTTATCACGCATGTGCTTTGGAAAATAGCTTTCACCACGACTCCGTATGACCATCTGTTTACGTTTAATATCGGTAAGATTGTCAAATCTGGTGTCCAGCACCCATATATATATATATATATA